ATTTACCTCTGGCACTCCATGCTCTCATAAACATTCCCTCTCCATCTTTTCCATCATTTTCCTTCAGGTTTTGGAAGGACAAATTTCTATAAAAACCTCAACTGGAGAATCCCACGCTCAGCAGTTCCTCCTCAGGCTCTTCCCACCTGGGAGAGTTTTCCTTGCTTTTTGTCCACCCACCTGGTGAGAAGTCCCAGCTTGGATCTTCTGTTCTGTGTTTATGGATAGTTGGAAAATTCAGGAAAATTCAGGAAAATTCAGGAAAATGCTGGAGTTGTTTCTCATGAATGGAAACAGGTGAAAAGGTAAAAAGGATTCTTTGTACAAAGAACTTCCTTGGCAAGGTGTCAACTCGATTAATGACTGAGCGATTCCCCTCCTCTGTGCAAAGCAGCCCAGAAAATGGATAGAAGTCATTAGAAGGAAGCTCTCACCAGAAGATCTAAATTACATCCTAATCCTTTAATTCCTCAGATGAAGAACACTCCCCAAGAAGTTCAGTGGCCCGGAAAATTCTCAATTCAACAATTTCTGCGTCAGGCAAAACAGAGCTTGACATTTGTGCAGAGCAAACGCCTCTGTGATCTGCCTTCGTTTATACTGTTTAAATATCCCATTAAACTAAATTTATTTCGTGGACAGTTTACAATTAAATTGCATTTTTTTCCTAAAGGCTGAGTTTCTAAAAACAGAACCAGATAAGGAACCAGAAGGTCTTTACATTATCTTTTTTGTAATGTTTAAAAGTAGGTAAAAACGACTGTATCACCATTAGAGTACAGAAATATCCACGTTTGCTGTGTGATCAACAATTAAAATTATCACTATTTATTTAAATTAACCAACAATCAACTAATAACTGATAAATATTTGAGATTCTTCTGTTTTCTGAGAGCACACCTGCCTGTCCTCACACACAGTTACCTCCCAGTGGTCACACAAGCTGCATGAAAGTACATCACCCTATCAAAAATATTTTATCAACTCCTCTGGGATAATTAAAAAATTTAGCAGCTTTTACATGCAATGGCAAATTAGAATCAGATTTGTTAAGTTTGGAAAAGATCACCAAACCCAACCACCAACCAGTTCACCACTAACCCATGTCCTCCACGCCACATCCACACAGTTTGAAAACTTCCAAGGATGGGGCTCCACCACTGCCCCAGGCATTTTCCCAATGCTTTCAAACCCTTTCCATGAAGAAATTTTAATTTCCAAATCTCCTCTGGCACAATTTGAGGCCATTTCCTCCCATCCTGCCAATGTCACAACAATGCCCAGGATGGACATGCAGGAAAGTTCTTCCCAACAACTCGGGGGGAAAAATAAATCCTCAAATTACCTACCCTGAAGAGGCATCTCCCAAACGGGAGATGTGGGGTGGAACAGGGGAGACAGAAAAGGGTCAAACAGAACTCAGGCTGCATGAAATCCTATTTGATTTGACATTAGCACGGAACCCTGAGCAGTTACTCCTGCTTTACACAAACCTCCCCGCCTTGTTACAACAGAGGGGACTTCTGGTTTAATTTTAGCAAGATGTCCAATGCAAAACTTGTCAAAATGAATTAAGAAATTGCTGTTAATTAGAAGTGAACTTTCAATTCATGATTGGTGACACAGCTGGAAGCTTAGATCCTATTTTTATCTTGGAATGACACCACAGTTTACCACAGGATTATTTTACTAAATAAAAATATTTACTTAATTTTACTATATTTATTTAATCAGATCTTACTTATCCAGACAGTTTGGGAAGACCTGGATTCCAACTGCTTCCATGAGTTTCTGCACCTTTTATATGCACAATGTTCAGTCCCAAAATAAATCAGAATTTTACTCCCAAACAGCTGCAGATAAGCACTGAAAAGTTACTTATCTAGATAATGGATTTCAACTCTTTTAGAATGCTTAATTCAAATGAACACACAACACAGGAATGAAATTAAAAGATTTAAAGGAAATAATGCAGGTGGAGAATAAAAAGGAAGCTTTGTTCTTGCATCAGAATGTATTAGATCTTGCAATTTGCATATACAAATAATTCAGCCACATTCACCGGCATTAAAAACACAGCAAGATCAAATTAGAAATGTAAGAAAAGAAAATAATAAGAGCTGAAACTGTATAATACATACATATATTATAAAGATTTGACAAATTAAATACATTTTGGTTATACAGAAAAGTTCCAGTAACTTTACATGAAAAAATGGGACGAGGGAAACGCAAACATTCCAAAAGACTGAACACGGGCTGGTCAGGCTCATTTTAAAAGTTTTAAAAAATACATAAAAATAGCCTAAAAAACACTGCTAATTACAGTATGCATTCTTCATTAAGGCCCAGGTCAGCCAAGCACTTTTAGGGATTGCTTTGGGCACAGGAACCCACGGCATCCATGGATGGTGGCATGAGGGCGTCGGGAAGCGAACGCTCCAACGCTGAGCTGAGCTGGGACCCTCTGAACACATGAACAGTCCAAGTCACACAGTGACCAAAAGCACACACAGATCAGAAGGACACTTCCAATCCAACTATTTGGCCTTTTGAAGGAATTCCACGAAACAGACGGAGAGTCAAAGGAAAATTCCAATCCACCCAGGCCCTCCCCAGAGCACACGGTCACTGCAAAGGGAGCTCCTCAAATTCCACAAAAACCTTCATGGAGCTACAGCTGGGAGCTCTGAATTCTGTTTTAGGCATTTCTCAATCTGGTTATCAACTAAAACCCGAGTACCCACCGAGGATTTGGTGTTCCAGCTGAACTCCATCCTGCTCCTGGTTGGAAGGAGGCCTCCAGTTCCTGGAGGAACCCCGTGGGAGTTGTGCTGCAGCTCCCGTGGGACCCCCACACCCTCACACCCCATCACTGCTGCACTGAGATCGACCTCATGGCCAACTCAGGGAGGTTTTACCTCAGGGACCCCAAAATCTGCCCAACACACAAATTATTATTGTTCAAAGGCTAAAGGGTCAGAGAGATCCTGACAGCAGGATCATAACATGGGAATTCCTTTCTCCTCCAACCTTTTGGATCTCCCTGCACTGAGACTGACTTCAGGAGACAACCCCAGTTTTCACCAAAGGGACCCACAAATCTGCCCAACAGACAAATTATTATTAGTAGTATTATTATTATTAAAATGCCTCCTAAATGGTTGGAAAGATCCTGACATCAGGATCATACAATGGGAATTCCTTTGCATTATTTTCCAATTTTTTGGAGTCTCCCTGCACTGAGATTGACCTCATGAAACAACCCCACTTTTTACCTCAGGGACCAACAAAATCTGCCTAACAGACAAAGTATTATAATTATTATTCAAATGCTGGCTAAATGGTTGGAAGGATCCTGACATCAGGTTCAGAAAATGGGAATTCCTTTGCATCATTTTCCAATTTTTTGGAGTCTCCCTGCACTGAGATTGACTTCATGCACAACTCACCCCAAGTTTTTACCTTACAGACCCCAAATTCTGACAAATTATTATTCAAATGTGGGCTAAATGGTTGGAAAGATCCTGACATCAGGATCAGAAAATGGGAATTCCTTTGCATTATTCTCCAGCCTCGGGGAGCCTTTGCTATAAATCAAACTGAACCCCAGTGTACAATTTCCAGGCTGAATTTCTTCTGGCTCTTTCCATTTGGATGGAATTTCAGGACCATGCCCCTCCTCAGCTCCACTTTCAGTACCCAACCTTGAGTGTTTCTTCTCACAGAGACTCACGAGTGAGGTTAAGTCTTTAACCAATCTCGTTTTTGAAGTGCATAATTCACTGTACAAATAAATACAGGAGTGCAACCATGGGAAGACAAGAACAGCCAATGGCACTGTGGGGATTGGGGGCTCAGGAATTCCCATCCCAAACCTTTTCCAGCCAGGCTGGAATGGAAGGAGACCCAGGGACACCTTCCCATCCCTTGCATTGCTCCAAGGGGCGAGGAGATTGCACTGGGATGGGATAAAACAGTGCAAGAGCAGCAGGGAAAGCTCAGGTTAAGCTGCTTGTTTGAAATGAGGCTTTGATGCTGCATGGCCAAAGCCCTGCTGGACGAGACAGAACTGCTGCATATTTGTTATTTAATTCACTACAGAACTGCTGCATATTTGTTATTTAATTCATTACAGAACTGCTGCATATTTGTTATTTAATTCATTACAGATTCACCCCTTTGTGCTCATTAAGTCAGAGATGCTTTTGGAAGAGAGGGAGAGATAAATTTGGTAATTATTCAACATTTGGGTGGTTTTGGGGATTTTCCAGCCCCTGACCAGGGCTGTAATAAAAACTCCTATATTTTCTGTCACCAATTCTATTCTCAGTAGTGCTTTCCATAAAAATATATCTCTGTACACAACTCTAAACCTCTTTAAGAAAGTCCTTTTTTGATAACATTTCTGGGAGGGTAAGAACCTGGAAGAACTTTTGCTACAATACTCAATATTTCTGGCATTAAACTGTTCATAAAATGTTTTTTTCAATTTTTACCTCTTCATTATCCTGCTGAGTCATATCAAGGAATAAGAGTTCATCTCTTATTTTAAAGAAGTGGGAAATTATGCAGGTGTTTATAGAGAAGAGATGCTTTTAACTTAATTTCTGGCCTTTCTCTTCAAGTAAACAAGTTCAGGTGCTGCAAAATATACTTTTCAAATAAGCAAAATATTCTAAAAATCACATTATTGCCTAAGTCAACATAAACAATATTTGAAAAAAAAAAAAAAAAAAGAGCAGGGCTTTGAAGATTCTGTTCATTCAAAAATTCAAATCTGTATTTCTACTGATTTTTTCCTATGGAGTGTTAGACAAAATCCAACAAAACCTGGAGGCTCTTAAAAACAGCCTGGAAAAATAAATATCTGTTTTCATGGTGGACATATTTTGCTGGTGAACAAAACATGTTCAAACATGCGCACCCAAAATCAGTTTTTTTAGGATGAATTGTAAATCACCTGTAAAAAAATTCAATAATTGGGAGATAACGTTGTTGATAAATATTTATGAGTGGCAAAATTCAAAGAAAAAAAAATCCCAATAATTAATTTTTTGTTATTTAGAATAAAGATTTCTATCCCATCTTACAGTGCTATACAATATAGGAACATTATACTTTACTTTAGAAGATATTTATATTTAAGAAACAACTTTATACAGCAAATGCAACTTTTAGAGCCAGCACAACGTTGTATTTACAGTTCAGTCAACAATCCAAGTGACATAGAATAAATTAACATAATATACAACTATTTATACAGACAAATTAAAAAATAAGGCAGAATTCTCATTTGAAATTAGCATAATCTGAAAAGATGTCGATGAAATCTTGTACCACTCTGTAGCAGAATTCATACTGTTCCTGGAAAACAAGGAAAGGAGATCAAAATGTGCTTTTGGTTACACTAAAAAACCTGAATTCTGCAAATCCCAGTGATAAATTCAATATATCCTAACTGGGAGCAGTAATTGAGGACTGGTCGGCTCTGATTTCTGATTATTTTAAATAAAACAAATAATTCCTATTTCTTTGGTGAGACACAGGCTGATCCTTGCTCTTTGCTTCAAATGTCTTCTTGAGCTTCTTGGTTCTTAAACTGAGTCAATTCTTAGGCCTGGCTTTTCATTTAAACCCAGCTGCTCACAGCAGAAACTCCTGAGCCCTGCCCAGGGATAATCAGGGAATCAGCAAATCCCAGGATGGTTTGGGCTGGAAAGGACCTCAAATCCCAGCACCCTCCCAGGGAAGGATTTCTTTAGCAGATAATATAAAACATGACAATCATGCTCATTGCAGAGCCTAAGAATTAATTTCAAGTCAGTTCTTCTCATTCCGGATACCTGCCCGACAGAACCAGTGGGGGATGTGGGAAACCCCAAATTTAGATTATTGATAAAGAATCACTTTCCTTCAGCAGCTGGGGAAGGAAACTCCACAGATTCTCTGGGAATTCCATCCCAGCCCCTCCCCACCCTCCCAGGGAGGAATTCCTCCCCAATATCCCACCCATCCCTGTCTCAGCCTGAGCATGGATAATCCCATTCCATTTCTTTATCTCCTTTCCTCCTATCTGTGGGATGGAGAAAACACCTTCCTGGAAAAAGGGTTTGAGGGAACTGTTTGTAAGAGGTTTCAGATGCTGAATGGAAGCTGCTATGGAAATAAAAAATAATATATTTATGTATTTTCAAGTTAAGAAAAGTCTCAAAAAACTTTCTAATGTTTACTCAATAGGGAAAAGCACCTGGACAAAGCTTCAAAGAGTAGTTGTAGATGACTTGAAGGAAAACTTGAAAGATTTTAAACAAGTTAGAGACATTTCCAAAGATGTCCACATCCCTGGGAGTGTCCAGGGCCAGGCTGGATGGGGCTTGGAGCAGCCTGAGACAGGGGAAGGTGTCCCTGCCATGGCAGGGGTGGGAACGGGATGGGTTTTAAGTCTCTTCCAGCCAAAACCATTCTGTGATTCCAATTTATGTCCAGACAATTTAAGGTATGAAAGAACAACTGGTAAATAGCTTGAAAGCCATTTACTTAATATATTTTATCACCTGCAACACTCAAAATACGTTTAGTTTAACTACCTCAAGTTCCTAAAAGACAGAGAATATTTAACCAAATTGTATTTTTAGACATGCTCTAAAACCTCCTGTAAAACCCTGGTTATGCCTTGTACACCCGCATCCACCATGCATCATTTATGCCAACCTGCAAAAACCCCTTTTATTCTCCTTTCCCAGGAACATTTACATTCAGAGCTCCCTTCCAAAGGCCTGGCAAACCCCATACCAGTGTTTGCACCATGTGTGGCCTCTGCAGCCTCAAGCTCTTCACAGCCTGGAACACGTCCAGCAGCCCCTCAGCCTTGACCCGCTCCAGGATGTTGCTCAGGGCTATGAAGGTTCCCGTTCTCCCCGCTCCAGCACTGCAATCAAAACACAAATTTTTGGCATGAAGTGGGGTAAAAATGGGAAAAAATATGTTGGAATCTGAAGTGCAGGGAATTCTCAGAACTTTGGGCTTGTAAGCCAAAGTTTAGGATTAAACACAGGATTTGATCTGAGACTTTGGAAAAGGTTTCCAAACCCAGGTGCTGGAAGGGAGAATGCGGATCTGTAGTTTAAAGCAGAGACATGTTAAGCTAAGTAAAGGAAAGCTTAGAGTTTTAGAGTTTAAGATATAGAAAAAATAAAAGTAATTACAGAGGTAAACAAGGAGTTTAGAATGCAGAACTGCGGGTTTGTGTGCAATGACATGATTGACTAAGAAAGCTCACACTGCAGCATGGGTCCCTAAGATTAAATATTTAAGGATTGGGCCAAAACCACAAATATCCTTGTTGGCAGTGTTTTATTGGTCACTAAATCCTTAGAAAGGTGTTGTAACTAAAGGTCTTGTGACCTTCTGAGCCATGCAGTGAAGATGCGATCCTAACTCACCCTTCCTGCCTATGCAGAATATAAGACAAATAAATCAAATAATCTAAAACAATTCAGAGGTCCCGTCTCTAACTCATTCAAAACTTCCAAAATGCCCACACCAGAGGCATGCCAGGGCACAGAGCAGCCAAGCTGGGGGCAGAGGGGCTCACCTGCAGTGCACAGTGATGGGGTGGTTCCCTGTCTGCTGCTGCTGCTTCTGCACCGCTGCAATGAGGTCGATCATGCCCTTCCCCTCGGCAGGAATCCCGATCTCCGGCCAGCCGTGGAAGTGGAACTGCCTGACCAGCCTGCTCTGCTTCTCCTGGTTGCTCTGCCAGCAGGAAAACAGCCTTCAGCCACTCGTCACTCCCAGGGGCAAACACAATTCCTGCCTGGTGCATCTGCAGCAGCAATTCTGCACTGCAGAATTTGCAGCCCGGTCCGCACCATATTACGGACCTTGGTGATTTTATTGCCAGTGATATTCCATGATTCTGTTTCTAAATCCCCCACCCACTGACAATTTCCCCCTCCAATTTTCCTTGGGTTTGCACAGCTGTTTCCTCTGGGAAGGACTTGGGATACACTGGAAGTGCCCAAGGCCAGGTTGGACAGGGCTTGGAATAACCTGGGATGGTGGGAGGGGTCCCTGCCCATGGCAGGGTGGTGCGATGAGTTTAAGGTCCCTTCCAACTCAAACCCAAATTTTCTGAAAAATCTTGAATCAAATTTTCTTTGATGCCTATGTAGGAGATGGCAGAAAAATCCAGGAATAACAGCAACAACAAAATAGTTAAAAAACCCCAAAACCCACCCCCCATTTTGCAACCACCTGTTTCACTGACAAGAATTTTCAGGGACTTTAAACAAAATTATTTCATATAAGCTTCCTCTTAATGCCAGCTTTTGATTACCACATTTGAGTTTAGACAAAAACCCCAGAATTTAAGATACATAACCAGATTTGTAAATGCCTTCAGATGGGAAAAAACCCCAAAAACCACTGGAATGGTAAAGAATTACCGGATTATATGTGACCAGGAAGTCCCTCACACTGATGGCATCCATCAGGCTGTCACTCTTGATTTCCACCGTGATCTCTCCGTGAGTCACAGAGCCCTCTGATGGCCAGTACTGGCAGCATTTCTCCTGCAGAACCCAGAGAATTGAAAATATTCCTTCATTTATTTTTCCCAGTTATCTACATTGGCACGAATCTCTAGCATAAGAAGTGACATCCAGCATAATGAGTGTGTTCTAAACACTAAGAATGCAGTGATAAAATGTTTTTGAATAGAAACCATCATGATGAAAAAGGCTCAGGAGGCCCAGATAGCAAATATTGCTTTAAAACAGAGTAGAATAATAAATGGAATTCCTGAAAGCAAGGTAATGTTGTTAAAAAACTCCCAAAACCACCAAGAAAAAGCTTTTCACAATACCCTTGTTGAACTCAGAATTTTCAAGCTGCAGCACAGGACTCTTTAACTAATTAATGACATTAATTCTCATATTTAAATCAAATAATGAATTTATTCTTATACTTTAATCAAATTAGGACAGGCTCAAAATGAGCAACAGGAACTTTTACTGGCACAAATGGGATAAAAGTTTACACCAAAGTTTGTTCCCAAATCCCAAAACCCTGTCCTGTGTCAGGCATCCCTTGATGCAAAGTAGAAGCTTTCAAAAATCACAATATTCTGCAGTTTTTTTGTGTTTCCTGACAATTCCAGAAAAAGCAGCAACACTGCCTCACACCAATGAGTGAAGCAAGTACTCATTTTAGGAAAAGCCGAAAAAAAATCAGATTGCTGAAATTTTTAGACAAAAAAGAAATAATTTCTCCAGTATTGATGCTCGTGGTTTGCAGGTGGGAAGGGGCAGTGTGGGGCTGCAGGGGGGGCACGAGTCAGATCAGGCCCTTTTCTGACCCACACATGGGGCAACTGAGAGGCCTTTCAGAAACTTTTATTCCATCTTCTGTCTCATGTGAAGGGCAAGACAATACAGATGTTATAATTCACACCATCACAATCAGAAGCTATTTCATAATTACAATGCATTTTGAGGGTTTCTTGGCCTATCAGCTTTTGCCCCACCATGCTGTAAATGCCTTAAAGCCAATCTAAAACTACCCTTCTTGTGGAAGAGGTTTTACAGGGACCTCTGTCAGCCAGAGAGAAGTCTGATCCATGTTTATCTCTGAAAGAAGTTCCTACCAAGGGTGTTGACATAAAAACCAAGAAAAAAAGAAGATAAATAAGAGAAACCTGCAACTCTGTTCCAATGAGCTTTTTGTTTGTCTTTCCTGACCAATGAGTAAAGTGTAAATTTAGGAGTTTTGTAAGAATTTATAAAGAGCATGCACGCTGGAATAAAACCAGTTGAAAGCCTTCTGAAAATGGAGTGTGTTGCTTTGTGTTGTCTCCATCTCAGCTATGACAGTGGCTCCTACTACAATGCATCTTTCATGGTTCCATTTCTCCGAAGTACCCACTCTTATTTGCAAGGCCACCTTTTGAAACGTGTTTCTATTTCCATTTCTCCCTCAATTCCTGTCCAATTCCATGGCATCTCTCAGTCAGCATTTCCCATCTCAGGGTCTGCACACTGTGTGAGCCTTGTGCCAGGCTTTGAGAGCTCTCTCCAAGCCCAATTCCCATTTCCCACGTACCTGCTCCCTCTCCTGCACCTCGGTGAGCATCACGATGGTGTGGCACTTCCACTCCCACACCATCCTCCAGAAATCCTCCACTGTGTGAGGGAGGGGGCCCTGGGTGGCAATGAAATAATCCTTCTGCCGGTAGCCCTGTGGGAAGAGAGGGTCACACAGGGACAGGGACAGTGGTCATGGGGACATCACAGCTTAAACGGGGGCTTCTCCCGCAGGGGCTGCACCAGGGAAGGTGCAAGTTGGGTATTAGTGGGAATTTCCCCACAGAAAATATCAGTGAGTCCCCATCCTGGAAGGATTTAAAGCCATGTGGAGGTGGCACTTGGGGACACGGGGCAGTGCTGAGGGATGGCTGGACTCGATGGTCTGAGAGAGCTTTTCCAAGGTTCTAAAATCTGCCCCAAATTCACAATGCTCAGGTGAATTTCTCCAGTCATGGCTGAGGGGATGAGATGCTGCAGGAGCACATTTCACAAGATCATCACAACAGCAGGGTCGCAGACATCTTTTATGGAAAATCCTTTCCTTAGGATTTTTCCTCCTGAGAAGCTGGGAGGCCTCAGGAACAAAATGTAAACAATGATTATCTGCTGCTGTGGAATGCAACAGGTGCATCTGGGATTGGTCTCATGGGGTTGTTTCTAATTAATGGCCAATCACAGTCAGCTGGCTCGGGCTCTCTGTCCGAGCCACAAACCTTTGTTATCATTCTTTGCTATTCTACTTTTAGCCAGCCTTCTGATGAAATCCTTTCTTCTATTCTTTTAGTATCGTTTTAATGTAATATATATCATAAAATAATAAATCAGCTTCTGAAACGTGGAGTCAGATCCGAGTCTCTTCCCTCACCCTCAGACCCCGGAGAACACCATCACACAGCAGCTCCCAGCTTTCCTCTAGAATGAATTTCTGCCTCAAGTTTTGAGGTCCAGTTTAATTTCACAGAATCAGGTTGGAAAAGAGCTCTGAGACCCTTGAGTCCAACCTGTGACCCAACCCCAAGGCTCTGAGGCCACATCCAGCCCCTCCTTATTCCCATGCAGGTGTGATCTGTGTGGAATCCACAGCCCTCAGTTACTAATGTGGTTTCAATGCTTAAGGACATGATTAATTCTCACATTTCAACAAAAACAAGGCACAATCCCATGCTCAGCTTCCAACAGGAAGCTGGGAAGAAAACCTGGAATTCATCCAGCTCTGCCCAAGTAAAGCCTGGCTGCCAGACACTGTCACAGCTTTCCCTGTGCTCAACACTGACTTCTCTGTTTCTCACAAAAGCAAATATTTACACCTGTTAACCTGACCCAGATAGTGTAATCACTGGCTGTGATTGTGCAGCTGATTTGTTTGGTCAGGACTGAATAAAAGGTTTGGTTTATAAATGTAACGACAAGGTTTAAATTGCACAACCATTTAAGCTGAAATTAAAAACACCAGATAAGAAATGCATTTAGAAACTCCCACAAACAAAGCTCATGTTCTTTGCAAGCCAAGCTGATTGTGCCTCTTTAAAAAGACCTGTCAGCAGCAAAATCTCGGATTTGGAAAGGAAAGGCAGGAAAATGTTGTATACTTACATCTATGAAGGAAGCATTGATGTAATCTGTGTACTCCTGCCCTCTTTTCATGGACAGAATCACTCTGTTAAAATCATCTGGAAAAAAAAGTCTGGGCTTAGTTTGGAGTCCAGTAAAAAAAGTCTGGGCTTAATTTTGAGTCCAGTAAAAAAAGTCTAGTCTTAATTTTGAGTGCAGTCTTACTTTTGCCAACTGCCCACGGAAGAACAAACCCCACCCAATCTTTTCTGTGAAATGTTCATTTTCAGGTGCAAACATGAAATGGAACACTGTGCATGGAACCACACAGGAAAGGGGTGGTTTAACAGGTGAAATTGCTGAGTTATTTAATTCCAAATCCCTGAGTGTAACAGATTTTAGGGTGATTCAGTACAACCAATTCACTGGATTTTTTACAGATGACAGTCTGTAAGGGGAGCTGTGCTCTGCCAGGGATTGCTGGCACTTCCCTGGGGGGAGGAGCTGGGCTCTTACAGGGGATGATCTGGATGACTCTGGCTTTCTTCATGTTGGCTGGGAGGTTGCCAGTCCTCATGTTCTCCTTCATGATGCGCACGTTGGTCAGCTTCTGCAGAGAGCACAGGGGTGAGCACAGGGCAGGAGTGGGCCCAGCACATCCTGCAGAGCCTTTGTGGGGTAAAAAATCCCTGCCACACTCACAGGGAGCTGCAGCCACTGCACTGCCCTGGCTATAGAAACTGAGAAGGAATAACAGTCACAGAATCCCAGAATGGCTTGGGTTGGAAGGGACTTTAAATCCAGTGCCATGGCAGGGACAGCTCCCACTGTGCCAGGCTGGCCTTGGACTCCTGCAGGGATCCCTGTGCCAGGGCGTGCCCACCCTCACAGGCAAAAATTCCTGCCCAATATCCCATCTAATCTTCCTTCCCTCAATACTGCTGATTTTGGAACTTGTTGCTCTATCATCAAACTTATTTTTACATCATTTTCTTTACCCAGTTCCCAATTTCTGGTTAAATTAGTCCTTTAAAGCAAAGACAGAACTCCAGTTAACACCCGGATGTCAATTAATACTTTATATAGAAAATAAATATTTTACCATAAGGAAAATCATAAAAAATCTAACTATTCCTTCAGGGAACTAAAACAATGATAACACACAGCCAGTGTGGTTTTCTTCAGCTGGGGTTTCTCCACTGATAAGAAATGAGATTTTTTGGGTTTGTTTTGAGGTTTTTCTCCAGCCCTGTACATTCTCTGCTGTCAGACACCTCAGAGTTAACAATCCCACTGAGATGCAGATTAGGAGCACCTAATCCAGTTTCTTCTTCCAGCTTTATCTGATCTGGCACCCTACACCACACTCAGAGAATCACTGCACTTCTCTTTTATAAACAAACAAAAGGCATTTAGGGAAAGGCCAGGGAATGACACAGCTCTGAATGAGGGAATGAGATTAAAATCTGAATTTAGAGAACAGGATGTTCAGCGAGGCCCCATTCACAAAAACCACCAAAAAAAACAACTCCTTCCCTTTTATGCACCTTTACGGTTACACTTCTATCCACTGGGCTTGCATCTTGGAAATCCTATGGGAAAGATTTCCATACTTACTTTAAATTCCTCTTCCAGCCCTATTTTGACCAGGTTTGGGGCTGCATTTTGGGAAGTCTGGAGGTGTTTTTCCAAGGATGACACATCCAGCTCTGTGTCACCGTAGAGGTAGTACTCGAGTAAGGCTTGGTAAATGAAGGAATATTGCATCTGAAGGGACAGAGAGGAAGAGGAAGGGAGGGAAATGAGGAATTCTGGGACTTTTTTAAAAATCATAGAATGGTTTGGCTTGGAAGGGACATTAAATCCCACCAGTGCCATGGCAGGGACACCTCCCACTGTCCCAGGTGCTCCAGCCCCAATGTCCAGCCTGGCCTTGGGCACTGCCAGGGATCCAGGGGCAGCCACAGCTGCTCTGGGAATTCCATCCCACAGGGAACAATTCCTCCCCAATATCCCATCTAAGTTCAAAACCACTGCTCCTTGTCTTGTCCCTCTTTGGTGACAATCTCCTAATTATTAACATAATAATAAATTATGCTAAACCAGAGTTTTCCTGTTTTGCTCACATTTCCACTCATAATCTCTGACATGCCACTCTCGTGTGCATGGAAAAACCATAAGAAATGACTCCTAAAAATCAAGTGTTTCACAGTGATCCTCTCCACTTTATCTTCTGCCCCACCCCACTTCCTTCACTGAGCATTTTTGAATTAGAGAATCCTAGAATGAATGATTTGGGTTGGAAATTAAAATTCATCCATCCCACCCCTGCCATGGCAGGGACACCTCCCACTGTCCCAGGCTGCTCCAAGTCCCAATGTCCAACCTGGCCTCGGACACTCCCAGGGATCCAGGGGCAGAGAATCCCAGAATTACTTGGCTTGGAAAGGACCTTAAACCTCATCCATCCCACCCCTGCCATGGTGAGGAACACCTCCCGCTAACCCCAGGCTGCTCCAAGCCCCAATTTCCCAATTGTCCAGCACAAAGGAGCGGGGACACAGCAGCATTTCCCTCCCTGCCCAGGAAAATCTGGAATTCCGGGTGTCTGGAGTGCACTCACATCAGTCTGGACCATCTGTGGCCGCTGGTTGCGGATCCTGCAGACGAAGTCAAAGACATCCACCCTGTGCTCGGCGTGCATCATGTCGATGATGGCGTCGATGACGATGAAGGTGCCCGTGCGCCCCACGCCCGCGCTGGGGAGGGAAAACACCTGGTCACACACACCCCCTGCACACACTGACACTTCTATAGCCGGATTTTACTGTGAGAAAGCTCAGAGGAAAGAATTAAAACAATTCTCATCTCCCCTTGCTGCACCTCTTGTTGGGTACGTGTGTGTGGTGGTGTTTGAGGGATGAGGGAAGAGATGAGAATCTTGACTCCATGTTGCAGAAGGCTGGTTTATTGTTTATGATATATATGGTATTAAAAGAAAATTATATACTAAAACTATAGAATTATAAAACTATAGAATTAGAACAGTTATTATCTCCACTTGCTGCACCTGTTGTTGGGCACGTGTGTGTGGTGGTGTTTGAGGGATGAGGGAAGAGATGAGAATCTTGACTCCATGTTTCAGAAGGCTGACTGATTATTTTATGGAATATATTGTATTAAAAGAAAATTATATACTGAAACTATAGAATTATAAAACTATAGAATTAGAACAATTCTCATCTCCGCTTGCTTCACCTGCTGTTGGGCACGTGTGTGTGGCGGTGTTTGAGGAACAAGGGAAGAGATGAGAATCTTGACTCCATGTTTCAGAAGGCTGATTTATTATTTTATGGTATATATTATATTAAAAGAAAATTATATATGAAAACTGTAGAATTATAAAACTATCGAATTAGAACAATTCTTATCTCCGCTTGCTGCACCTGTTGTTGAGCACGTGTCTGTGGTGGTGTTTGAGGGTCTTCAGGACAAGGGAAGAGATGAAAATTTTAACTGTTCTTTTAGGAATTTTTAGCTCCACATTTCCCAAGGCTGCCATCCCTGAACACTTTTTGGTTTTTATATCCTTAAAAGCCACGAGAGGGAGCACGACCGTTAGAAATTACAAAATTCCAGCGACTTTCAGCTCTTCCTTCCAGAGGAAAAGGGCATGGCATCCTGTACTAGTCACCAGCAGCTCTCCTTTAACCTCTGGGCAGTTTGCTTGGCTGCAGTGGCCACAAACACCTCCAGGAACACGATAAAAACGCCTTCCCTCCCCTCACGGGCTCAAAAACACAAAGCAATTCTCAGCAAGGCTACATCAGGCTTTCAATAAGACCAGAAAAATAAAATTACTGTATTTATAGTACAATTATTTCATTTCCACACACACTTTACCAGCAGGGAAACCAAAACCCACGAGCTCCAGTATTCCAGAGGTCTGGAAGGATGATGGAGATTCCCCTCCCTCTCCCTTCCATCCATCCCTGCTGGCTCTCTGGCACCACAAGGAATCCCCCCCATGTGCTAATGCCTTAATTCCCACTCACAAGAGATTGTTCTCCTCCTGACAGCCCTGGAAGGCACCTCTGAGCACAGACCCCCCCTCCCCAGTTCCCACTGGTCCCTCACTGCTCACTCCTGGAGGTTTCAGCCCAGCTCAGCTCCTCACTCCCTTTCCAGCCATCCTCCCTTTTTGTACATCCCTGTTCCCAGAGCAGCTCTGGATTCCATCCCTGCTGAAGTTGGTGACTTCCCCACCCTGGGCATCCACCTCAGAGTGTCTCCATCTTCACCTCCTGGGTGTCTCCATCTTCACCTCCTGGGTGTCTCCATCTTCACCTCCTGAGGGTGTCTCCATCTTCACCTCCTGGGTGTCTCCATCTTCACCTCCTGGGTGTCTCCATCTTCACCTCCTGAGGGTGTCTCCATCTTCACCTCCTGAGGGTGTCTCCATCTTCACCTCCTGAGTGTCTCCATCTTCACCTCCTGAGGGTGTCTCCATCTTCACCTCCTGGGTGTCTCCATCTTCACCTCCTGAGTGTCTCCATCTTCACCTCCTGAGGGTGTCTCCATCTTCACCTCCTGAGTGTCTCCATCTTCACCTCCTGGGTGTCTCCATCTTCACCTCCTGGGTGTCTCCATCCTTAGCCTGCTTTGTGGCATCCCCTACTCAGCCATTCCTCAAAGTCTCTCTCCACCCACTGAAAAAATTCTATTTCTAAAAAAACCTATTTCTAAAACCTTACGAAACACAAGAATCAGCAGAAAGTCCTGCCACTCCTCATTTTCCCTCCGTGATTTCCAAATGCTCTGTCAGTGTTTACTCACTTCCCAAACCTGTCTGCAGAGCTTTTGGCCAGGGTGGCTGGGGCACATTTCCCTACAGGCTCCCTAAAAATGGATGGTTACTCACTGCTGATGGCTTCCCTTTCCTCTTCCCAACAATCCAGTGGTGTCACATCCTGAGGGGGACGGCAGCTCAGTGTCACCTCTGTCCTCCTCCCCTTCTCACCCTGGCACACGCCGGCCTCGTGTGCCCTGCTGGCCCTTGGCATTGAAATCTCTGCAGGTATTGGTGAAATTATTTTGTATTTTCCTTGCTTTTGGCTCTCCTTCTGCTGGTGAAACCAAGCACAGCCTTTCCTGCTGCTGCCAAACAAAGCTCGAGCCCAGGATGAGGCTCCACACACAGCAAAGGGCTATAAAATATTCTCAACTGAGACAACTCAAATCCACTTTTCCCATCTAAATGTTTTTTTAATTCATGACACCTGGGGGAGAAGGTGAATCCCAGCAGGACAAACACCCTCTTTTTCTCTAACATGCATTTCCAGGGAATATTCATAGCAAGGAAAAAGAGACAAATTCAGGAATTTACAAATTTTTTTTGCCTCAAAAACAAGTACCAGGCAGACAACGCTGCTCTTCTTTTCTTTTCACTCTGCTCTTGTGCTCTTTTTACTGTAACCTTGCAATAATTGCTCCTGAAAAGCCACTTCCTGCTCAGGGTGAGCTTACAGCTGCTACAGAGGTTACAATTACTCTCTTCAAACTGTTTGGGGGTTTGCTTTTAGTTTCATTAAAGATTTCACCAGTTCAGGATGTGCCTGTGTGAGTGACCAGTGAGTGGGAATTGGTTCTGGATTGGGGTGAAGCACATTTTTAAAATCGCAGCATTTAAGTCTCTTGAATTCAAGTCTTTCTTCCAAACTCTTTAGGCATTTCATGGCTGATTTCCATTAAAAAACTGCGATTTGACTGTGGGAGAAGAAGTGGGGGAAGAATTCCCAGAGCAGCACTGAGTGGCAAAGGCCACAGATTTCTATCACCAGCCTGTTTTTCTGACAAAGAACAGATTTATACCCAACAATGGAGATCCCTCAGAAAGAAAAGCCCCAAACAGCAGAACAACAACTTCTGTTTGAGTATCACACTGGCAGCAAAGACAGAGCTTTGGAAATTGTTTTTACTCTCTGCTCGCAAGAACTCAGCAGATTATTACCCTTGAATAGAAATATGTGAGTAAATACAGCTATAAATATAAACATATATATAAAATACATATAAAATCTTAAAAATATATATAAAAATATGTTTAAAAAATCTAAATATATATAAATAACTCCAGGCCAAGCCACAAGAATGGTCTGGGGAGCACATACATACCTGCAGTGAACCACAATGGGTCCAGCATGGGCAGGATTCAAGGTCTTGACTTTTTTCAGGAATTTCAGCATGCCAATAGGTGTGAAAGGCACCCCAAAATCCGGCCAGCTGGTGAAGTGGAGCTGTGTGACCAGCCTTGGAGCCTTGCATCCCTCCTGGAGCTGCAGGAACACCCAGACACTCAGTGTGACATCTCATTTTTCATGCTGGTTTTGTGGTTTCAGTACTTGATAATTATCAATATTTTTAAAAACGTTATTTAAGTATATAGACAGTATTAGTTATTTTACAGACATGTTTGAGTTGTTTTTATTGTTTGTTACAAAACAAAAATATTATTGTTTGATAGTTACAGCTATTTTTGTAAAAAGTAAATGTATAACATTTATGTATAATTATTTACATTTATTTATGTATTATACATATATGTATTATTATGTATATAATACAATATGTATTATTATACATAAATAATACATGTGTTATTTATGTATAATACACATACATTTATTTATGTATAATACATTTATTTATGTATAATATTCTATATTTTGCAAAAGTTAAAATGATAATATAGTTAAAACTATAATAAAATCATATAAAATAATTTAAAGTAATAGTTAAAACTATAATATATTTATTACACTGATCATAAATGAAAATGTAATTAATAAATGATGTTGTGAGAATCCAAGTTTCACAGAGGCCTTATCATAACTATTATATTAAAAGCAGTTAAAAGTGATTATAAATATATTACAATCCTTGTGAATAACAATTGGTAAAGTTAATTTACAACAGCAAAACCAACAACCACACAGTTATTTAGCCTAAATCGCTATGTGGGTGTTTTAAAAGTAGCTAGAAGCGATTATAAATATATTAAAATCCTTGTGATTAATAGATGGTAGAAGTTAATTTACAATAGCAAAATCCAACAACCACACAGTTATTTAGCCTAGATCACAATGTGGTTGTTTTAAAGTTAGAAGTGACTATAAATATATTAAAATCCTTGTGATTTACAACTGGTTAAAGTGAATTTACAATAGCAAAAGCCAACAACGACACAGTTATTTAGCCTAAATCACTACGTGTTTGCTGGCTGAAATCAGCCCAATTTCTGAAATTCAGATTTCCCACAGAGCCTCTATTCCTTGCCAGGAGCATTTGGGGTTTTCTCCATCCCCCAGGAGTGCTGGCAGCCCAGCAGCAGCCGGGGCCTCACCGAGTGCACGCAGAACTTGCGCACGGTGTAATCCACCAGCACCATGGAGTCCTCCACGGACACACGGACACTGCCGTACGTCCAGCAGCCCTGGTCCGGCCAGTACTGGAAACACTTCTCCTGCACAAAAACATGGAATTTCAGGGACAAACACGGGGAACTTAGTACAAAACCCAGGGAATTTCAGAGCCAAGCATGGGGAATTTCAGAGCCAAACCCAGGGAATTTCAGAACCAAACACATGGAATTTTAGAGCCTAACACAGGGACTCTTAGAAGCAAACATAGGGAATTTTACAACCAAACTCTGGGAATTTCACAACCAAGCCCTAGGAATTTCAGAGCAAAGAATGGGGAATTTCAGAACAAAACCCAGGGAATTTCAGAACCAAGCGCAGGGAATCTTAGAACCAAACCCAGGGAATTTCAGAGCCAAACTCAGGGAATTTCACAGCCAAACACTGGGAATTTCAGAGCCAAGCACAAGGAATTTTAGAACCAAAACCAATCAATTTCAGAACCAGGCAAAGGGAACTTTAGAACCAAACCCAGAGAATTTCACAACCAAACCCAGGGAATTTCAGAGCCAAACACACGGAATTTCAGAGCCAAACCCAGGGAATTTCAGAACCAAACCCAGGGAATTTCAGAATCAAACCCAGGGAATTTCAGAACCAAACCCAGAGAATTTCAGAACCAAACCCAGGGAATTTTAGAGCAAAGCACAGGGAATTTTAGAGCCAAACCCAGGGAATTTCATCACCCTGCCTTTGCTTTCACTGCCATGCTCTCCTGGCTGGATCCAGGGAAGGTGAGCACAGCTGAGAGTGTGCAGAGCTCCTTATGTGGCACAACTTCAGCACCCTGCTACTGCTTCTCAAATCGATGCCGAGAAGGTGAGAACAGCTCTGAATTGTTTTTTAACCAGCTCAGCCCCCACAGCTTTTGTTTCAGTTTGGCAGCCTTGTTGTAGAGTGTCCAACTGTGAGGTTTTCACACTGATTTGGAGCCTTAGCTGCAGACACTGAGAAATTCAAAGCAGTTCTGCTTTGGAGCCATCAGGAATATCCAGATTTAGCAGTTCTGGCTGCTCCCACTGGGAATTGGCCCTCATGGCCTGGCTTTGCTGTTTGAGCTTCATCAAGCAGCAGTGAAAGTGCAGGAAAATCAAATCCAGGAGGAAAACAAGGAATGCCCATCCTCAGGGGAGGAAGGAACAGCAGCACCCTCACAACACAGAAGCTTTCATTTCTCTTTGTTTAGTTGACAAACTGTGCATTTTGAAACCAAATACTCAGGAAAATGAGCAGTTTTTAATCCTCATTCCTAATCAATCCCATCCACAAGCACAGCCTTACGCTGCGATAAAACCACAGGAGTTTTCCTTTGGCCCTGGGCTATGCAGGGCACAATTGGCCATCAGAATTTTCTCCTGAGATCACCTGACATAAATGGGTATTTTAGAAATGAAAACTGCATTTTGGAGCAGAAACTCAGCTGTGCTGACAGGGGCCAGGGCAGGAAGTGGTGAGAAATGCACCTGGTCAGAGCCTGAGCAGCCAGGACTGCTCTTGGAGCACAGGGACATCCAGGGCAGGGTGAATGCTCCTTACCTCTTTTCTTTCTTTCAGGTTGGTCAACATGACAATAATGGCTGATTTCTGCTCCCAGATCATCCTCCAGAAGTCATTGACTGTTTCCTGCTTGGGTCCTGCAGACAGAACAGGGAAATGCTCAGGAGAGGACGGGGCAGATCCCACAGCAGTCCCACACCCTGGACATCCACCCACAGCTGTGTCTGCTACACCTGCACAGCTTTGGAATCTACCAAATGTCTGTATTTATGTACTAAATAGCCACCCCTCTTGTTTTCTTTTACATCATCATGCACCCAAATCTACATTTTTAGAAGGAATCTCCTCTCTTGAAATACCACTCATAGAATCACAGAATGGTCTGAGTTGGAAAGGACTTTAAAGATCATTTAATCATTTACTTTCCATTCCCTGCCATGGCAGAGACACCTCCCACTGTCCCAGCTGCTCCAGCCCCAGTGTCCAGCCTGGCCTTGGGCACTGCCAGGGACCCAGGGGCAGCCACAGCTGCTCTGGGAATTCCATCCCAGCTCTCCCCATCTTCACAGGGAACAATTCCTTCCCAATATCCCATCTAAATCCACCCCTTGTGAGTTTAAAGCCATTCCCTGTGTCCTGTCCCTCCATCCCTTGTCCCCAGTCCCTCTCCAGCTCTCCTGGAGCCCCTTCAGGCCCTGGAAGAGTCTCTAACACATTAAATCTTAGATGTTATTTAATCTTTTCACTACTTTAGCTACTATTGCCAGCAGAGAGGGTCAGGAGGAGAAATGAGCCCCTGCCAGAGCAGAACCTACAGAAGTGCCTGGAGGCAGCTGGTCACCTCACACTCACCTCAAATTCATCTCCCAACCCAGCCTCCCCCTGACCACCACCTGCAGCTCAAAACAACCTCTCCACCACATCTATCATTAAATGTGCTCAGCCCTGAGCTACAGAGGAGGGAGAAATGAGAAGGAGTTACCTTGTGCTGCTATAAATTTATTCTTTTCTTTGTAGCCCTGTGGAAATAAATGCCATAGCAGTTAAAAGGTGAAAGGCCAAGGTGTAAAGCAGAGAATTCCTTCTTTAATGGCCAAACTTTGGCCAGCTGTGGGCAGCCCTCAACTCACATCTATGTATGAAGCATTGATGTAGTCTGAAGGTGGGACTCCATCAATTTGGGTCAAAATCACTCTGGAATGATCATCTGAAAGAAAAGAAGGATATTGGCAAGTTATTAAATCTGAAATATGGTATTTCCTGGTAAGCAGGAGGGCTGGAAAAGCACAGAGTTCCCAAACCACATGAGCAGCATTTCTGACCAGTGCAATTGTTGTTATTTGAGTGTTTTCAGCACAGGAGCAGCACCAGCAGCTGCTCAGTGCCAAAATGAATTGTCTGGTTTAAAAGGAAAGCGGATGGCTTACATGGCAGGATGTTGGGATATCTGTTCTTCTCCCTGTTTTCCTCCTTATTTGCCATTTCAAACGTTCCCTGCACATATCCAGACGTTAATGACTGAAAAAAAAAAAAAGATCTAGAGTCAATGTGTTAGAAAACAAATAATTTTGACTGCACACAGCCAAGGGAAAATTTGCAACCAACAAAACTAAATATATTTCAACTTTTTCCCCCCCAGTAACTTCAATTCCTCTCTATCCTGGCAGGTTTGAGTCCAGACAAGGAGTTCAGCAGCTGGGGAGAGAGCAGGAATGTCTTCCCTCCGAGATCACAGTTATTTAGCAAATTGTTCAACTCTGAGCTGCTGCCTGGAGCTGCCATCTGCCACGGTGACTCAGAGGCACTGATGGCAGCACAGGGGCTGGGCTGAGCCCCTCATCCACTGCTGAGGGCAGCACAAACCCAACATCCTGCTCAGCTCTGCACGTGGTGAAAAGGAGGAAGGGAAAATAAAATATATAACAAATTAATATAAATTTATTATATCAATTTTTATATTTAGTAAAAATTAATATACAAAATATATATATTTGTATATATACAAATATATAAATATTTGTATATTTATATTTATAATAAATAACACAATATAAATATACAAAAAAATATTTTTTATATTATAAATAATGAGAATAATTTTATCATTATATTATTATTTTTATTAGAATATATTATAATATTTACAATAAAATATCATATTAATATTATATACTATATAATATATCTTATTATATAATACATATGTTATTATACTATAATATATAACATAATACATTACAATAATGTAATATAATATAATATAATATTATCTAATATAATCTAATATAATATTATCTAATATAATATTATCTAATATGATATTATCTAATATATACACAATACTATATTATATTATTACATATTATATTAAATTGTATTATATTATTACATATTATTATTTAATAATATTATTACACATTATTATTTAGTAATATTATTATACTATTTATTACTAATAAAACAATTTTTAAATTATTGGGTTAAAATAATTTTAACTCATGAAAAATAAAGGGTTTTAATGCAGTGCAAGTTGAGTTCTGAGTGCAGGTAAATTTAGTCTGGCTTAAAAATAACCCAACAGCCATGGAGGGCAATAAACCAAAGGAAAAAACAGAGAGGAGGGTGAAGATGAAAACAAGGAGGTGCCCAATGTGAGCTCCTCCCCAGCTGAGATGCTGCCACTGCAAATGGACCAAAGCAGAACCGAATTTGAGAAGTTTTTAAGTGGATTTTAGGAAGTTCCTTAAGCTGAGCTCCAAAAGCCCCAGGGGAGCAGGGGGGAGCCCAGTGAGGTAAAATCCCAGCAGTGTGGGCAGGCAGCAGCACCTTGTGCCCCCTGTGCCACCCCTGCCAGGCTGAGTCACACTGGGCAAGGACAAACGTGGGCAGGGCTGGGGCACAGCAGGGCTGGAATCCCCCAGAACTGCACAGGGGGACACGGGGGGACACTGGGGACAAAGGGGGACACTGGCAGCCCTGACCCCCAGCACACAGGGAACACCACCCTGCACTCCTGGGCTTGGTTTGTGGGGCTGTGAGTGGAAAAGAGAGGAGGCTGAAAGAGGGCGGAGGAAGAAAGCTGCTGGCAGACTGCTCAATTCCTCACGTGAATGAAGCCCGTGGCTTTTTATCAGCCCATTTTGATGATTGAAGTACATTTATGAAACACAAAACCAAAAAAGAAATAGGGGAAGGTGTCCCTGCCCATGGCAAGGGGTTGGAACTGGATGAACTTTGAGCTCCTTCCAACCCACACCGTTCTGTGACCCTATGAAATAATTATCTTTTCAACCACAATCTCTTCAAACCTCAAGTCAGGCACCCAATTTTCAATTCACAGCCAGAGAAGTTCTGGATGTTCCTGACAGCAGCTTTCCTCCTCAGCCCTCTTTCACCCTCCTCTCTTTTCCATGCACAGCTCCCTGTGCCACAACAGCCCCAGCAAACCAAGCCCACTGTGGTGGTGCTCACAGGGGTCCCAGGATGAGGGAAGAGACGAGGATCTGACTCCATGTTTCACAAGGCTGATTTATTATTTTATGATTTATATTCTACTAAAACTATACTAAAAGAATAGAAGAAAGGATTTCCTCAGAAGGCTGGCTAAGAATAGAAAAAGAAGGAATGAATAGCAAAGGTTTGTGTCTTGGACAGAGAGTCCGAGCCAGCTGGACTGTGATTGGCCATTGATTAGAAACAACCACACCAGACCAATCCCAGATGCACCTGTTGCATTCCACAGCAGCAGATAACCATTGTTTGCATTTTGTTCCTGAGGCCTCCCAGCTTCCCAGGAGGAAAAATCCTCAGGAAAGGATTTTCCATAAAACATGTCTGTGACAAGCCTACAAGTGCAGGGTTTCCTGTGTGCTGGGGGGGGTCAGAGCTGAAATGAAAAATCTATAAAAAGGATTAATTAAAAGGAATTAATCTTGGCCAGATCTCTGCTGCTGAGCCCTGCAGGGCCCAGGCAGCTCCTGGTGCCCAGGGTGGGTGCTGAGCCCAGAGCAGAGCCCAGCTCCTGCTGCACCCACAGGGAGGATGTGAATGAATGATTCACCCTGCTGCTCCTCAGCACATCCTTCCTCCCAAATCCACCCTCCCTGCGCCCCAAATCACGAGGAGCTGACTGGTCCTGCCTCATCCGTGCCACCCCACCCTGGCCTGTCCCCACCCCAGGCGGTGACCCCAAAATCCCACTGGAGCTCTGAGAGGCTCAGCCCAGCCAGGATCAGCACATTTCCTCCTTTTTTAGCACTGGAGGAGTCACAGGGGTGTCTTAATCAAGCCAGAATTCAAATTTCAAAAGAAAGCTCTTAGGGGAAGCTTTTCAGTAATTAATCTGAAAATCAAGGTGATAATCCCAAACTTCCAAGGATGATCAACAGAGGTTGGGGCTTTGCAGAAAGGAACCAATTTTAATTTTTTTTTTTTTTCCTTTTTTTTTTCCTGTGAAAAAAGAACACACACTTCCAGTGCCCAATGTTCACAAAGGAATCACAAAAAAGAAGGAGCTGTTCTGCGGAGTGTCCAAGGGGTGCAATGGAGCTCTTAAGGGTCATGCAGGCTTTAAGGACAAAATCAAAGCTGCTGGAGAACACCATTAGCACATAAATCCAAAGTCAGGAACTGTCCTTAAAACTCTTTTCTCCCTGCTGGGTGTCTTCATCTTTTAGTGTCTGGTTTCTTTTTACCAAAAAAATCACTCAGGACCAAACTCCTCAGGTTGGTGCACGTGCCTGGCTCCCAGAACTCACCATTTTCAGCCCAAATTTGTCCCTAATTCCCACTGGAGCTCCCGTATCTGCACTCCCAGGGATGCCTGGCCCCTGACATGTGGGGTGTGGAGTGGGCAGAGATCCCTGGAGCATCCCCAGGGCAGGGCTGAGGCACAGAACCAGAGAATCAGGGAATGGTTTGGGTTGGGAGGATCTTCTAAATCCCATCCAGTGCCATGGCAGGGACACCTTCCCCTGTCCCAGGCTGCTCCAAACCCCAATGTCCAACCTGGCCTGGGACACTTCCAGCCCTCCCAGGCTGGAGCCAACAGCTCATCCAGAAACACAGGAAAAAACCACATTGAGCATCAACCCCACCACTGCTCATTTTTGGGGATCAGACCCCAGGTTTTTGGGTGTGGACAGAATCCCACACACTCACAGCATGGGGCAGAACATTACCAAAGCAAAGAGGGGTTGAAAAATGCAAACAGATGGTTTGTTTCACTCTGAACCTCAGAGCAAATTCATCAGCAGAGTCAAAATTTACCAGCGCACACCGTGTCAGGCTGGTCCTCACTTTCATTTTCAGCTTTAGAATTTCCACAATGCTCCCTGTCTGATAAGGCAAAAGTCTGTGGTTTAAATTTATCATCAGCCAAACTGCAGCTCTAAATATGCTCCCAATTAAGAAGGTAACTCAACAGCCTGCCTAATCAACACGTGCCTTGGCTCTCACAAATCCATGCCTGACATTTCAACTCCTGCTCTGGAGGGAAGTGAAGAGAACTCATAAAAAAGCTGGAAAAAGCCCCAGACTCAGACTCCTGGTGTTGTGTTTCTCCACAGGAATCCTGCAGGAGCTCAGCACAGGCTCCAGGTGCAGCTCATCCCTACAACCACAAAATCCTGCCCAAGGCCACGCTCAACAGGAAAACCTGAGAGCTGAGACAATTCACAAACTCTGTGCTGCAAAGAGGGGAGTGCTGGGATGGCAACCAAGGGCAAAAAGTCAAATTATCAGGAAAAAAGAAGTCAAATCTCACCAAGACAAAGTCAAATTATCAGGAAAAAAGTCAAATTATCAGGAAAAAAGAAGTCAAATCTCACCAGGGCAATATTAAGGCCGAACTGTGCCTTCTCTAAATACCTCCCATGGAGGTGAAACACCCAGATCCCCCCCAAACCCCTCCAGCACCATGATGAAAATCAATGCTGAACAGGTTTATATTCAATGTTCCTCTCCTCCAGCTTCAGGCAAACACTCAAGACTTCCTTAAAATGCTAGCAAGAGGCAAACAGTTCATATAATACCAATTCAGCATCACAAATCAGTAAAAATTCCAGGTTTTACCCAGATGAAAGGTCCCCACACACAACAGAACCTGTAGGAACAGCACCAATCATGCACCAATCACAGAATTATTAATGCCTGCAGATATTTTGGGTTTTTCCCCCATTTTCAGCCATCCATGTGCATAAACTTACATTAAACTCCTCCCTGAAGAGCTTCCCCTCGTCGGCCGAGCGTATCCGGATCTCCTCCTCCAGGTTTTCCACAGGGATGGGGAAATACTTCTTGGGGCCCGAGGGAGACCTGCTGAGCAGCATCACCCGCTGCTGTTCTGTCAGCACAAGGGCAGCACGTGTTAAAGGCACGGCCACAGCACAGATCCCACTGCAAATTCATCCTGGTGCTCCAGATGCCAAAGCAAACTGCTGCCATGACACCCTGAGGTGCTAAAGGGGATTTAGAGGAAATTAAAACACCAAATCATAGGCCAAGTGGCTGCTTTGAGAGCATGATGGTATTAAGAGGAACCAGTGCTGGTGAAATGAATGATTGCTCTGTTTACACTGGATTTAAAAGTGACCAAGTTTTATTCAGAAAAGGAGAAGCTTCTTTCTGCTGACAGGGCAAGGACAGCTTTTGGCACCTGTCACCAAAGAGGTGCTGCCCGATTATTTCATTTTGAGGGGAAATAATGCTAATAATAATGATAACAAATAATTTATCTTTAACTTGGCAGCCAACAGAGACTATGCCCCAAGAGGAGCTGCTGCCCCGTGCACAGGAACACCCCAGCAGGAAGCTGATGGGTATTTTTAGGTTTTTGGCTTTTCCTCTGACTGTCACCCTCTTCAGCCCACTCATCCTTTCACACATGGTCAAGTGGGGCTTATACAAACCGCAGATTGATTATTTTATCTTTAATTTGATCATTTTTCTCTGGGTTGTGATTAGAACAACTTGTCCAGCCCAGGTTTGAGCTGGGACCCACAGAGGAGCCAGCCTGGAGTTCCCCATGGGCAGAAACAAACCCAGCACAACTCAGACCAGGGGGAAACACTTGGAACTCCTCAGAGAATTTTATTTCAGTGTCTCTGGCTTCACATTTGGAACTCCACAGAGAGTTTTATTTCAACACCTCTGGCTTCAAACTGCTCCCTGCCTCATGTTCAGAAAGCACCCGGTGTTTTAAGGGTGTTAGTGTTAAGGACTTTTCCCCCATTTTAAGAAGAAATCCTGCAATTCCTTCTTCAGATATAAGGATCACAGTGTTAAGGACTTATTGCCCCATTTTAAGAAGAAATCCTGCAATTCCTTCTCTAAATACCAAGATCACAGTGGCACAAATGTGGATCTCAGCTGGCACCCTGGTAAAACATCTCCAAAGAGCCCAGGGAGGTTTTATACAGGAACATTTGCTGCATCACAAAGTGAAACCTATTTCAAAGCAGCAACTGAAAGTTAAGATTTTCCATAGACTGCTTGAGGATGATTTCTAAATATGGATCTCCAGTCCAAGGCCAACTTGGAGGGGACAGCCAAGGGCTGGAAGATGTCCCTGCACATGGCACCAGGGTTGGAACTGGCTGACTTTAAGGTCCCTTCCAACCCAAACTATTTGTAATTGTGTTTTTTCAGACTACTTGCTCTTTAACAACAACCCTGTCACTGATATCAGAAACAAAAGCAAACACTGAGTAATTCTGAATTGAAGACAGAAATAGAAGTGAGAGTCTGAAAGCAAATCTGCCCATACCTTGTTCTTCCAAGATCCCATTTGGCATCTTCTTGTCCCCGGAGTTGACCACAGCTTTCCTGTGTCTCCTGAACCTGCAACAACAGAGGCACCACATCAACCCACAGCTCTGGCAAGGGCAAAGCAGCAGCATTTCCCCCCAGGCCCCTTTTACAGACAGGGTAATCCTGGAGAGGCTCTTTCTGTTCATGCTGGCAGGGAGAGCAGGGCAGGCTCGAGGCTCTGCCTCGCTTCTGCTTCCGTGGGAGGGCCCACAGAGAGGATGGGCTGAGCCACAGGAAAACACCCACCTGAAAAAATACCCCACCAGCACCACGAAAATGATCACCACCAGCACCAGGATCAGCAGGGAAGTCAGCAGCTCCTTGTGCAAGGTGTTCTCCTCAGTGGAGTCTGGGGATGGAACAAGAAATGTGGAATATGAGACGTGGATTGCCTCATCTGGCACAAAAACTGTGCTTAAGGCACCAAAAATTCTGCCCAAATATCTGCCTCTGCTTACTAAAAGCTTCACAATTACTTGACACAGGCAAAGCTAAAATTAAAAGCTTATTTTTTAAAATTTTTTAATTTTTTTATCCCTTGTCAAAAGCACAACCAAACCACTGCTGCTGAGAAATTCCAAGATATTTTCCAATTATAGAAATAAGGAAATGTGGAATATGAGATGTGGATTGCCTCATCTGGCACAAAAATGTGCTTAAAGCACCAAAAATTCTGCCCAAATATCTGTCTCTGCTTACTAAAAGCTTCACAATTACTTGACAGAGGCGAGGCTAAAATTAAAAGGTTTTTTTTTTTAATTTTTTCATTTTTTTCTTCCTTGTCATAAGCACAACCAAACCACTGCTGCTGAGAAATTCCAATATAGTTTTCAATTATAGAAATTAAGAAATGTGGAATATGAGATGTGGATTGCCTTATCTGGCACAAAAACTGTGCTTAAGGCACCAAAAATTCTGCCCAAATATCTGTCTCTGCTTACTAAAAGCTTCACAATTACTTGACAGAGGCGAGGCTAAAATTAAAAGGTTTTTTTTTTTAATTTTTTCATTTTTTTCTTCCTTGTCATAAGCACAACCAAACCACTGCTGCTGAGAAATTCCAATATAGTTTTCAATTATAGAAATTAAGAAATGTGGAATATGAGATGTGGATTGCCTTATCTGGCACAAAAACTGTGCTTAAAGCACCAAAAATTCTGCCCAAATATCTGCTTCTGCTTACTAAAAGCTTCACAATTACTTGACACAGGCAAAGCTAAAATTAAAAGCTTATTTTTTAAAATTTTTTAATTTTTTTATCCCTTGTCAAAAGCACAACCAAACCACTGCTGCTGAGAAATTCCAAGATAGCTTTCAATTATAGAAATTAAAAAATGTGGAATATGAGACGTGGATTGCCTCATCTGGCACAAAAAATGTGCTTAAGGCACCAAAAATTCTGCCCAAATATCTGCCTCTGCTTACTAAAAGCATCACGATTACTTGACACAGGCAAAGCTAAAATTAAAAGTTTATTTTTTAAAATTTTTTTATCCCTTGTCAAAAGCACAACCAAACCACTGCTGCTGAGAAAATCCAAGATATTTTTCAATTTTCCTCTAATCCGAGAAAGTTGAACAGCTATAATGTACCAAGCTGAATCTGAAGCCCATTACAAGGTTTGCTACAGTGCCCTAATGCACATCAACTGCTTCTCTACCACCTCACATAGAGATACAGAAAATGTCACCTTTCACAGGGACTTTATTCACTGAAATTCTAAAAGATTTTATTCACTGAAATTCTGTATAAATATAAGAACAAGCAGGCATAATGACATTTTTCTCAGAATGGAGATTAAAGAACATCTTTGTTATATCTGCTACAAGCTCTGAGTCTCACCCTTCTGCTCACAGTGTTTTGTGGAAGTGTCTCTTTACCTTTCACTTTCATTATGCTTCTGTAACCTTTTCCTTCTACTGAATAATTCAATACAGAACAGATTAAAATCATTAAAAACCCAACATGTTTTATCTAAGGAAGCCAAGATCCCAGTCTGAACCTTCAGCAAGCAAAACACAACCCTACAACCGCTCTTCCAAAATTAAGGCAATTTCTGCTGCTGCTGCTGGTATTTGATATTTTTTTCTCTTTTAAATTACATTTACACATTTTAAGGAGTTTTTTTACCTTTCCTACAGTGGTATTTGAGAGCTGACTGACAGAAGGGTTGGATGGGGATATTGGGAGGGAATTCCTGGCTGGGATGGAATTCCCAGAGCAGTTGGGGCTGCCCCTGGATCCCTGGCAGTGCCCAAGGCCAGGTTGAACAGGATTTGGAGCACCTGGGACAGTGGAAGGTGTCCCTGCCATTATTATTTTTTAAGTTCCTTTCCATCCCAAACAATTCTGGGATACAAAAAAAAAAAAAAAAAAAAAAAAATATTTAGGAATAAGCAACACCTGCAATAATCCAGAAAGGATTCCTGTGGATCAAACAAATACCCAGAATTGATGGCTACAAAACCACCTGAGTGTTGGGAGCAGCTGGAAACTCTCAGGGTGTGAGGGCATGGGGAAAATTCCTGGAGAGGCACAGGTGAGCTCGGGACACACAGGGAAAAAGGGCCCATAAATCAACATCATAACCCAGAGACAGGGAAGGCAATAAAAGGCATGAGGGATGACTTTTAGGTGGTGTGTAAAGATAAAAGTGACAGGCATGACAGAACTGCAGTCAGGAGCTTGGCAGGGGTTCAGGAAATCACTCCTGGAAGGAGTGGCTGGGTGAGGATGAACAAGCACCCAACACCTTCTGTGGGGTGTTCTGCAGCTCTGCCTGGGAGCCAAGGCTGCCAAGGAAACAAACACAAAAAGAAAAAAATAAATCCCTGGTTTTGTCCCTCACAGACAAAATGCAGCCACTTGCATGGGGTTAGAAATGTCACCCTGAGGATGCCAGAATGCTCCAGGGTTTGGGGGATTGTGTTGGTTCTCTTTAGCTCTGTGACAATGAGAGGGGAAGCAACAAGTTTGCACAACGAGGGAGTTAAAATTTCCCTCAGACAATTACACGATAAAAAAAAAAAAAAATCACCCCTCTCTTCCTTTCACAGAGCTGCTGCACCATTTTTGGGGTGTCTGTGGAGAAGTGATTCCCAGGCAAGCACTGAAAGCTCAATCCCAGCCAGGAAAAGGGAAGCTGAACCAGCACCAGCAGTAAATGTGAGTTTGACATCTCAGAGCTGAATCCCTTGGGCAAAGCCAGCCCAGCCCCCCTGGCACTGCAGCCACACACTCTGAGCCTGACCTGGAGGGACCTTTAAAGGTCACCCCGTCCACCCCCTGACCTGAAAGCACCTATTTCTGAAGTTCTGCTTTGCAAACTGATTCTTGGAATTGAGTGTCTGCAGAGAATCCCTCTGGCATTTAACTACCAAGCAAAATGAGCCAGGTTCCTTCTCCTTAGCTCAGTTTCCTGACGCTGCCTCATTTTCTGCATGAAATCACCACCATGAGCCTCACAGGGAAGTTCCACCTCTGGGTGCTACAGAGCCACACAATGATTTGGGCTGGAAGGGACCTTAAAAATCACCCAGTGCCACCCCTGCCATGGCAGGGACACCTCCCACTGTCCCAGATGCTCCAAACCCCAATGTCCAGCCTGGCCTTGGGCACTGCCAGGGATCCAGGGGCAGCCACAGCAAATCTGGGAATTCCATCCCATCCAGGAATTCCCAGTTCCCAATCTCCCATCCATCCCTGCCCTCTGGCACTGGGAGCCATTCCCTGTGTCCTGTCCCTCCATCCTTGTCCCCAGTCCCTCTGCAGCTCTCCTGGAGCCCCTTCAGGCCCTGCAAGGCCACACTGAGGTCACCCCAAAGCTTCTCCTCTCCAGGTGAGCAATCCCAGCTCTCCCAGCCTTTCCTCCATCTGAACATTTGGGTTCATTCCCATTCATTGTTTCCCACTGAACATTTGGCTCCATCCCCACAGCTCCAGCTCCTCCCCAGGGCTGGACACGGTGTCCTGGCTGGGACCTCTCCAGAAAGGAGAGACACAAAATCTCATTTTCACATTGCCGCTGACTGGTTGAGAGTTGAAACCAGCACTAAACAGGAGCCCCAAAGCTGCCCCATTCTCCTGCCTTTTAACCAGCAGCTCCTCTGATAAATTCATCCCCTCTGAAGGCTCAGACATCAGTGATGGGAAGGGATTGTGAGGAGTCAAAGGCACCAGGAGCCCTCATGGAGTAAATAGCAGTGGAATGTAAACATTTGGAAAGGTATTTAAAGGTTTACAACTGCAGCTCCAGGCTGCTTGCACATTTCAACAACTCCACAAGCAAAAATACAAGAGGAAGTAAAGCAATCCAGACTATGATTAATCCTGGGGAACTTACAAATATTTGACAAATATTTGAATTACCAGGAGTTACGGGATGGTCACGGACAATATCATGAATAAACAGTCTGTAACAAGGATCTGGGAGCATTAAGAGATCTCTACTGGAAATATACATTTATTTATGCAAATCCTAATAAATATTAGCTTGGAAGTCACAACTAAATGCTCCCTTCCAACCCAAACCTTTCTGTGGTTTGCTGGTTTATATTTATTTAATGCAGCTGAATACCTGGAGTAAAGATCAGGGCAAATTTCCAGTAAATGGCAGTGCAGTAAGGCCCAGAATATTCTCATTTTCTGGAGGGGAAATTTCAAGGTAGCAATTTCATGGCTGCAATTTCAGGGTGTTCTTGTAGGAGGTAAAATGGCAGCAGTGCTAAAAATCGACCCATCCAGACAAGGTAACCATGTTTTAAATGAGAATAAAGCTGACATTGTAATTCAGCAAATCTTTGAAAAAATCACGGCAGCTCAAATAATGGCATGAAATCATTTATACCTATTCCTTTCAGAATCAAAAGGATCTTTTGGGATCACACATCAAATTAGCATGCAAAAGGAAAGCTGATTTTTTTTAGGCTCTTTTAGTTCTTTCCATAGTCTGTTAAATGGAGTTTTCTTTATGCTTCAATCAAAAATCTTTATTTTTGTATTTTAAAATGCTGTATTAATTCAATGGCTATCAAATTTATTAGATAATCCAATTATCTTGGTTCTCTTTCTGCAGCAATGTAATTTTCAGGGTGCACCTAACTTGCCTGACAGACAAAATTCTTCCTCACTGCAGAGCCAGCAAGGCTTTGATATTTAGGAAAAACACTGTAGTCACACCAATCATTTCTGAATCATATCACTGAAATTAAGATTTAATTAAAATAGGGATGATCAGATTACTCTTATCCACATTATCAGACCTAAATCCAACACAATTTGGAATTAAGCTCTGAAGATGAACAACTCTGATGGCAAAACTCCCTTTATTATTAAGATTCTGGGAAGTGATAAAAACAACAAGTGACTTCCCCTTCTCAATTCCCATATTCTGACATATTCAGCCCAATATTAGTAACTTGTTTTTCTACAGCTCCAGGTGCCAGACAAGAAGCAGGCACCAAAAACTACTTGACAATACTTCAAACTGATTCATTAGCAAATTCACACTCGGCTAAAGCCTCTTTTCTATGAATAATTTGGGTTTTTTGGGAGCACTCAGCACAGCCACACTCAGATTTCAGTGCTGGTGGATGGGGAGCCCCTGGTCCCCCAACCTCCCTTTCCCAGCTGAGCTCTGGAGTGCCCCAGTCAGAGTCTGGAGAAGGCAAATGCTCACACCTGGATTAGCAGCAAATCCCAGACTGGTTTGGGATGGGAACACCCTCAAAATTATCCAGCGCCACCCCAGCCATGCAGGGACACCTCCCACTGTCCCAGGTGCTCCAGCCCCAGTGTCCAGCCTGGCCTTGGGCACTGCCAGGGATCCAGGGGCAGCCACAGCTGCTCTGCCCACCCTCATTTTCTTCCCAATATCTAAATCTCCCCTATTTCCATTGAAGTTACTACAACCAAGAACCAAAACAATCCAAGGGGCCATGAGCCCAGCCTGGCATTTGATTCCTCTCCTTCCCCAGGGGTGTAAAGTTCACAGACAGATTAAAAGCAAATAAAGCAACAAATCAGCCTTCTATGAAACACTGGGTGTCAACAGCAGTGACCTGAACACTCATCAAAACGTGGTCACATTGCTCATAGGGGACATCAGCAGCTTCACTCCCTGCTTTGGGCTGGAAGGGGCCTCAGAGATTGTCCCAGCCCACCCCTGCCATGGCAGGGACACCTTGCACCATCCCAGGGTGATCCGAGCCCCAGTGTCCAACCTGGCCTTGGGCATTTCCTCAAAGCCCCCAAATTCCCTGAATAAGCCCCTCCCCAGGACTGGCAGTGTCAGGACATGGTTCTGGGAGGAAGAAAAAGGTTCTGGGAGGAGGAAGAAATTCTGCAAACGGAAATGAGGATGAACCTGAGGTGCTGTGGTGGCCCAGAGTGATGCCTCAGGTTTAACTTTTCAATGTTTCCCATTCTGTGCTGCTTTAGTGTGTGGGGCTGGGTTCACATCAGGGGATGGTGAGCTCTGTGCACAGAGCAGGGAGACAAAACAATTCCTGCTCCAGCTGGGCACCAAGGACAAATGACCCAAATCTCAGCCCAGGAGCACAAACCCCGTGGGCTGGAGAGAGAAAAACAAGCAGGGTGGGACTGCCTGGGCTGAAGCTGGGATGGGACAATGAACTGCAAGGTGCAAATGGAGCAGAGCTGATCCCAGGGACAGACCCCGTGCCCCTCGTGCATTTTGGGGCCATTTTGGTTCATCTTGGGTGCAGCCCTGGCTGGGCTCTGGTGCTGCCCAAGGTGGATCCATGGAGGAGATGCTTTGAATCAATCCCTGCTTTATTCTGGAACTCTGTCCAGCCTCTGTTCTAGTGTTCCAGCTCAGCCTTCTCCAGGGATCATGAGGAGATCACTCTCAGCTCCTGGAACAAGAACTCTCCTGTTTCTCACCTGGCAGGACCCTCCACAGGACACCTCACACCCTCCTTGAGTCTTTACATGAAAACACAGAACATGTCCCAAAGCTCTTCATGGCGTTTCAATCTATTCATCCTCTTGTCTAATGAAAATTTATTTCCTGTTATCTGTGCCCAGATCCCCTCAGATCCCCTGGCAGCTCCCGGGCCCTGCAGCTCCCCCATCTCTGCCGTGCTTTCCCCTCCCACAGCAAACAGAAAGTGAAACCCCAACACCACCCACGTGCCAACCAAGCCCAGAGGACACCTGGCACCGTCAGAACTGTGTCAGTGGGGCCAAAGCCCTGCAGACACATCCAGGACCGAGCCCCCAGGGACACCCCCTTGGGTTCGTGCCCATCCTGCCCCCCAGGTCACTCCTTACTGGTGGCTGTGGTTGTTTTGGGCAGTTCTGTTCCATTGGGTGGCAGAGCTCGTGCAAAAATGAAACTAACACAGAGCAGCAGGAGCGAGCAGGAATGTTCCATCCTGGACCTGCAAGGAAGCAAAGCAGAGATAAATTGATATAAAATTCAGGTCAAATTGATATCATGGGGTTTCTTTTCCCTCGTGGCAGAAGGAAGCTAAAAGTAAAAGCAATACTTGCTTGAAATTTAAATTTATTTAAACCCTGTTTTATACTCTCCATCACCTTAGCACTGAATGTTCAGTTTTGATGCAAAAAGAAGAAAATACAACTTGTGGATGCCAAATATTCAGCAACAGAATGGCAACCCTCAGCCATGGTTCACACCAGAGATCAGGGCAAAAATGCTCCCTCCATAAAACAAAGCCATCTGAGGACACTGAGGAAACAATCCTGGGAGTATTCCCAGAGATAAGAGGAAAATTCATAACAAAGAGGAAAAGTTTTTCACCACAAGCAGCCCAGTAACAGCAGAAAGCTCTGAATCCCTTTGACACATAATTTTAGGGTTTCCTGATCCCACTCAACTCCCTTAGCCACAGGTGAGGGGCTCCATGGATGAATTCCTTGGGGGAATGTTTGCCACAGCTGATTCTGCTTTCTGAACACACGATTTCAGCATTGGTGAGACCAGAAAATAATCTCCAGTGTGAAGAAAATTGGAGGAAAAGTATGATGAGAACGTGCTGTTTCTTAATTCAAGGAAATTCACAGATGGAGACAAATAAACAGGTCCAATCCCTCTAAACAGAGGTGGAAAATAAATGTTGTTAATTATTTGTTGTGATTTATCCAATCCCTAAAGAACAGATTAATTAGGAGAGGCTCCCATCCCAGCCCTGCTTGATTTAGAAACAATTTCACACAACCTTTGCTTTGTGGCAGGATTTATCCAGATGGTGGCTCTGCAGCCACTGCTAAAATCCTGTCCCTGGAAATGCTGCTCCGCAGAGCTCCTTGTTTCAGGGTAATACACTGAATTTAACAGTGCAATTTCCACGGGGTATTACACAGTCCTGCCTCACAGCACACTAAAAAACCCAGGAATTTGGCAGTCATTAGAATAACCATTAGAAAATCCTGCCTTTCCATGTAAAGTGGGATAATCCACCAGAAATAATCCCTGGATAAACTCAAATATAGAGAAATCTCCCGTGACAACAACTTTCACACCACCTTTGTGCCACTCTCACAGCTGTTACTCAGAAGTGAAATATTCCCAGTCATTCCCAGCCTCTCCAAAGCCTGGTCCTACACCCAGGAGTAAACTCAAACTCAGCACACAGCTGCTACTCCTTGGACACACAGTTGGGAAGCTCAATGGGGCTTTTTTTCTCTAATACAATGAGTGAAAAAAGAATAATAAAAATATGTTAAAATATAAATAACAATATTAAAAATATTATTTATTATAAAATAAAAAAAATATTTTAAGATACTATTAGCAACAAACTTTTATTTTCTTAATTTTTTCCCCCAGTCCAGCTTGCTACTACTTTACTCCTTCAATTCCTTCTACTACTACTATTTCTAATTTAAGCACCCTAAATGTCTTACAATCTTAATCCCATTCTTGGGGTTTTACAATCCCATTCTTTCCCAATCCCATTCCTGGGATTAGACAGTTCATTGTGTTTAACACCTCACTGCAAACTGTGCCTGCATCATTGTGAGCATTATATAAATGTCCCAAATTAACTATTTATAATTATATTATATTTATAATTAGAAACCTTGGGACACACGGCAGCACTGAATGGAACTGAAGGGAAGGGGAAGGAAGGAGGATTTGGAAATGTGGAATAAAGGCAGAATAAAAGTGGAATTAACAGGGAAGAGGTGCTGAATGCTGGGATGCTTCCCACCCTCAGCAAAGGCTGCTGAAATCCACTGGAATTTTGGGTACTCCAACCTGGCAGGGGCTGATTTTCCAAGGCAGTGCTGAGTTCACTTTCTCATCCTTAAAATACATCCAGCTCCTTAAAAAAACCAAAAAATCCACAGAATAATTGAAGTTGCTGGAAGGTTTCCAGGAGAGCAGAAAGCGAAAGGAACATCAGTGCTTCTGTCCAAATCCCTGTCAGGAGGGTTTTCCAGATGCCCATTCCCTGCCAGACCCCTGAATCTGTTCTCTGGGATGTGATAAAAAAACATAAAATTCCCTGGGATGCGATAAAGGGTGGCTGGAACACGCTGTGGTGTCCCTCAATTTATCAGAAATAAACACAGCCACGAAGATTATGCAAATCCTGAGATTTTGGGTTTGGCCAAAGCCCTTTGCATTTCCAGCTCCTGAAGAGAGGAGGAGGAAAACTCCAAGGGAATCCAGGAGCTGCAGCTGAGGTGGGTGCAAAGGACTGGGCTCAGCAGGGCCAAGCAGGAAATCATGGAATTAAGGCTGGAAAAGACCTTTAAGATCATCAAATCCAACCATTCCCAGCACTGCCAAGGCCACCACTGTCCTATGTCCCACATCCACGTGGATTTTAAATCCCTCCAGGGATGGGGACTCCAAAATGCCCTGGGCAGCTGTGCCAGGCCTGGACAAACCTTTCCATGAGGAAATTTTCCCTAATTTCCAATCTAAACCTCCCCTGGCACAGCTTGAGGCTGTTTCCCCTCATCCCACAAAAACACAGTGAATCTTACTATATTTATATTTATATTTTATATTTATGTTTTTATATTTACATTTAATATTTATATTTATATTTATATGGCCTTCACGTACATGCCTGCAACATTGCCATTTTTTGAACAACAAAAAATAGCAAAAACTCACTGCTGCAGGCACAGCAGCATTTCCCACGTTTTCCTCACTCACAAAAGCACAAAGTTCATGATACAGCCTGGTAAAACAAGAAGGAAAAAATAGTAACAACTCTCCTGAGAGAACAGGCAGGGAGAAGAGCAGGGCTGAGCAGGGAAGGACAACCACGTGCTACAAAAGGAGCCTCTTGTTGGTAAAAGTGGAAAGGAAAAGATCCAGGGAGAGACGAACTGTTATCATTACACAGCTCTGCTGTAGGGCAGCTCCTGAAAAAGAAATAGGAACTGCCTTTAAAACAAAAAAAAAAAGTGAATGTATCGACTCATATCCTGCTACACTCAGTCTTTATTCCCTGGATATGCACAGGTTGGTCTCTGCTCCCAGGGAAAGAGCAGAGGATTGGCCTCAAACCGTGCCAGGGAGGCTCAGGGTGGACATCAGGAGGAATTCTGTCACAGAAAGGGTGGCCAGGCATTGTCAGGGAGGTTTGGAGCGCCCATTCCTGGGGGTGTCCCAGGAATTCCTGGAGGTGGCACTCAAAGCTCTGGGTGGGGACAAGGTGGGGATGGGCACAGCTTGAACTGGATGATCCTGGAGATCTTTTCCATCTGAAATGACTCCATGATTCTATTCTGAATGGCTCAGGCACCTCAGGTTTAACCCCATGGACTGATTTTTTTCTGTACTTTATTACTACTCTGGGACATCTTCCTATAGGAATGTGCTGCCTGTTGATGGAGTGACAAAACCATTCTTTGTCCCTTTAAAAAGGAAAGAAGCTCAGAAGTTTCTCTCTTCAGCTGGATAACAAAACACCTCACAGGCCTAGGGGACTTCACCTCTCTACCATCCCAGGGCTCCAAGCCCCATCCAGCCTGGCCTTGGGCACTGCCAGGGATGGGGCAGCACAGATTCCCTGTCCAAGGAGCCAGAGCAGCTGGAATGGGATCAGCTCAGGGATCAGAACAGCCTGGGACACCCCTGGCCAGCTCCTCCTGCAGCCCAGCTCCCCAAAACGTGAATAAATGACATTCTTTCCAGGGATTAATGGATTACCACACATGGCTAATTTCTATTTTGGCCGCAGAACTGAATCCTCATCTGACCTGACAGCTCAAGAGTAAAACCTGGGCTTGGAGAAGAAAATAGGCCAACAAAACCTCCGTGTGTCACGTGGCCCTGCCACAGATCTGAGTCCTGCTCCTTTTCCCAAGGATGCACCAGCTGCCTCAGAGCAGGTTAAACTGGTACCCATCCCTGGCATCCTCCTAAAGCAGGGAAAAATATAAATAAATCAGAGACACACCCCAGGTAACACAGAGGAGAGTGGAGACACTGGTGGAATTTGTGTTTTCCTGCCCCAGCCTCTCAGTGCTACAAAAGTCACATTTGCAAGGATAAGCACCATCAATTGAGAAAACAGAATTAAAAATGAGAGACACAAAAGCCTCGTCACTGCAGGCTGACAAAGCCACAGGCCACACCAAGAGCAAGTGCCAACCTCAAAAATTTGGTAGTTTAATTTAAAATACCAACAGAACACCAAAAGGGGAATGAGGAGACAACAGTCACCCTCTCTCTTTGCTCTTCCTGCTCTCCAACCACAAACCCCAACGCCCTGCTGGTCCCTGTAAGGATTCCCAGAGCACCTGTGGCTGTTCCTGGATCCCTGGCAGTGCCCAAGGCCAGGCTGGATGGAGCCTGGAGCACCCTGGGGCAGTGGAAGTTGTCCCTGCCATGGCATGGAATGGGTTGGGCTCTAAGGTCCCTTCCATTCAGTGATTCCATGATAAGAATCCCAAGCCCCAGTGCCTGGGGGTTCCCTTACCTGGAGCAGGTGAGCTGGCACGGCGGCTCCCTCTTGGCTGGAATCCCAGGCTCCAGGAGCTGCTCCCACTTCCAGCTGGGCTGATTGCAGCTGCTCTCTTTTCCCTGGAGCCCTGGCTTCAGAGGAGTCAGGGACTGTGCCTGCTGACCCATCCCAGGCAGTGCCAGGTTACAGTTTAACTGGAATTGCTCTCCCATGACCTCATTTGTGCTTGGGGCGTTATTGCCCCATTATGTCATCAGGGCAAGCAATCCACAATGCATGCAGCATTCCCAAAACTTCCCTTCAATGACGTGTTGACAAAACACCTGGGAAGAGAAGAGCTCCTCCCTTTCCTGGGGGAAATCAGGAACTCCCATCAAGATGGAACCATGAATGGTTTTAGAGCATGACTAAAAATACAATTTGGTTAAATATTCTCTGTCTTTTAGGAACTCGAGGCAGTGAAACTAAACATATTTTGAGTGTTG